AAGGCGTTGGTTAGATCCAGTGACAGGACCCAAAGAGTGTGAGTTCAATACCCGGTTAAGGCAGTGGAGAACTTGGAGAGGGGAATTAACAGGAGATAACTGATAACTGACATCCATTAGAAAATGGCACGTGGAACTAGAACAGTCTACCCCAGGGAGCGAAATAAAGGGTTCAGTTCGACATTCCAACCACCTGAAGAAGGCCGGAGCGTACAACGGCCGAAACGTTGTAATAAATATGGCGACAAAGATGAGGACAATAGTCCGAATAATCTAAATAGTTATCATGTTTCTAACTCATAATGAGATAGCACTTGTTGCGTTTGATAAATTTCTTTATTAAGATTATAATAATGTTTGATTTGCATTGGGTTTTTTTACGGCTTTGTTGAAACTTGACTAATGCATGGAATAATAATGCAACACAAAATGTACTTAGAACAAAATGTATTGAAACAAGAAAGTGTACACAATATTTACATATAGTCTTTTGTATATTCCTGGGAAGACCGTTCCTGGAGAATGTGTTGACTTAGTCGCAGTCGGGCAGAGTCTCTGGTTGAATCTCTTGATTCCTCCCACTCTTCCCGGTACCAACCATATTTATATGGTCGGTACTCCACTATGCAAATTAGGTGGATCCTACCACAACAGGCTTATTAACCTTTTGCAGCTTCTTTAAAGCCGGAAAATATACATTGTAAGAATTGTTTTTGGAGATAATCATAATTTACTGGTACAAGTCTTACTAATTAATCCATACCTGGGGGAGAATATGTGGATTCATGGCTTCCCTAAGAGTATTTTCGCATAAGTAAATATAACAAACCCGACTGGAATTGGAACTCCGCTCGCCGAATACCAATTGCTTTCTTGCTTTCTTTGAGACTAAGTTGCCATAACCAAAATATCAACATTTCCAAACCTCGTGTAAACAAGATTTTTTTTTTATTACACTACCGGACTTCCAAGCTTACAGCACCTGGTATTCCAAAGCGGTCACCCATCTAGGTCCAGACCTGGCTTGCCGTTGCTTTACTTCGATGATCGTACGAGAACACCTGTTTCAACCTAAAATGGCCGCAAGCCCTGATTATATTAGGGACAAAATAAAGGCAACACTTGAGTAAGTGAAGGGAGTTGCAATTGACCTGAAAAATTGTAGTTGTAAAACGTTTTCTAATAAAATAACCTTCTAAACGCAAATTTAATTATTCAATGAATAAATGCTGAAAATTTAATTGAGATTTGACGATTCACAGATTATTTTTAATTAAAAAAAAATATATCCGGCTGGAGCATTTACCAATGTCTCTAAAAAAAAAAAAATCATGTTTACACGATGTTTGGAAATGTTTATAATTTTATTTATGGCAACTTAGTCTGAATGAAAGCAAGCTGAATGGAGTCAATTAACTCTATCAATTTAAGAATGCATTATTTAAATTATTCGGACTGTTATCCTGATCTTCATTGCCATATTCACAAAGTTTCGGCCGTTGTACGTTCCGGCTTGTAGTGTGTTAAATATGCTTGTTTGTAATAGTCTGTTAAATATGCTTATTGAAGTGGAGGTCTTATATCCCTCTTCAATTTGAAGTGTTAATATCGTCTGCTGATAAAGCCGAATATTTTACTTGTAAATTCTCTTCAAATTCTGCTCCTTGCTCATCTTGAGTACCTTTGTCTGACTTTCTACTGAGTCTCTATTGAGTGTTATAAATATAACTCGGTCCATAGTTTTTGCTGTCTTTTCTAAACTGGCTCATCACAAAGCATGTGGATTTAACAGTATCCTTGCAATCTTCCTTACGAAAGGTGCTTCCTAACTGTCTCCTGTTCTCTCTAAACTGTACAATACATACCTTACTGCCTCTTGCTTTCCTGTTTGTTGGATATCCTCTTCTGTAGTTTGAGTCTTTAAGAACTCAGGCGAACCAGCTGATTCTTCTATCGGCCTATTTGCTTTTTACCTTTTTTTTTTTTAGCTAAGTAGGAGATGCTTTAATTAGCCCTGAATTAGTTAGCCATCTCACATCGCAGGGTCTGCTTCCGGTTAAGTAGTATGGCTTTCGCTTGTCTAGGTCTACTGCTGATGTGTTAACGATTATTACTGGAAGTGACTATCATGCTTTAGATAAGAATGGTGAAGCTTGGACTGTTATTTTGGATATCTCGAAGGCATTTAACAGGGTTTGGCATACTGGACTTCTTCACAAGATGAAAGGTTATGGTATTTCTGGACGAATTTTTGAACTGATTCAGTCTTTCTTATCAAATCGCGAAATGAAAGTTGTCTTGAATGGCCACTCTTCTTCATCTTTTTTTTCATGAATGCCGGTGTTGCTCAGAACTCTGTCAATGGACCTAAATTGTTTCAAATTTTCACAAATGACCTTCCTGGTGTCATCAGTTCCCAGCTCAGTAACTATGCTGATAACACAATTATTTACTCCTGTCTTAACAGTAAGTCTGATCAGTTTGATAAGATCTAAAAAATGACCCATAATCTGTTTATAAATGGGGTAATGAGTGGCTTGTTAATTTTAACGCCCCCAAAACTAAGCTGCACTCATTTACTCATCTGAGATAACTCCTTTTAATTTCCATCAGTATGGCTGATGCTAACCACCAGGAGAGGGACTAATTGTGCCCTCTCGGACTAACGTTTTCAGCTGACATCAAATAGAAAGAGTATATTGAATCAAATGCTAAATCGGCAGCTAAGAGTTGGTTCATTCTGTCGTGGGAGGCAATTTTTCTCTCTGCAAACTATCTTACATATTTATAAGTCTACCATTCATCCTTACTTTGAATATTGCTGCCACATCTGGCCTGGTACTCCTGCTATATTTTAGAGATTCTTGATGAAATCCAAAGAAAAATCTGCAATGTTATTGGTCAAGACATGACATCTCGGCTTCGGTCACTTTCCCACCGCCGTAACGTAGCTTCCCTGTGCCTTTTCTATAAATACTTTCATGGTAATTGTTGTGATGATCTTTTCCGCTATCATGAATTTGTGCGCAGTACTAGATTGGCGGTGAGGTTGCTTTAATCGGACTTTTCGCTCGGGGAACTTTCTTCCGGCTCCTTGCTACCCAGTCAACTTTGATATTCTAAAATTTAAATGCAATGTCAATCGTTATTTTCTGTCTTCTTAATTATTGTTCTTTTATTGCCTTCTCTCCTTAATAGGATATTTTTATCATATTTTCCCACACTCAGCAATCTCTTGCATCTTAGTGGCTTTACTGCCTTGCTTGGAGCGAAACGATTAAAATCTTTTTTTTTCTCTCTCACATGCATATATATTTTGGAAGGGAATTCAAACTGCATATAGTAGTATCGATATTTATAAACAATGTTAAATAAGACGACATTATAGCGTCGAGACGAGCCATCAGTTATTTAAATATATGTATATTGTTAGGAAATTTGAACTGACTTCGTCGTATGCGACATGTTGTTAACATAATTCTACGTAATTCAAACACAAAAGCAAGTTACTCCCGAAAAAATCAACTAAAATGGCTCACAGGATAAAAAATCGCCCATAAAAAGCGGTAAAGAAAATGTGGAGAGTCATAATCGTCTACGTCTTGAAAAGATATATCGTTTAATATATGTCATCAAGAGAAAAAAAAGAGCTATAAAAGATGGAAAGTTGTGGAGAGCCATGAACACCCATGAATTCATACGAGTCAAAGATGTTTTAAGGAAAATTGAAACATAAGGACTTTGAATTAGACAAAGACTATTGAAATCCCTTGTGCGCAAAACGAGGGAAGAGGGTTTGGAGAATTTGAAACGCACAAGACATGTTGAAACAATTAATGCTAGGGAATAAAAACGAGTAAACTACCTGTGCAAATGGTTCTCATATCAGGGATTGGAAAAGATCGTGGAAAGATAAACGTTACTTAGACTTACAATGGATAGAACGTTGTGGAGAGCCATGATCGCCCATGTCCTAAAAGAACACGGCTCATAGAAGAAGAAGAAGAAGAAGAAGAAGAAGAAGAAGAAGAAGAGATGGATTCATACCTTTCCAAGGGTATTTGTGCCAAATTTGAACTTGGCACGCTAATCCCATTTTAGCGACAATATGGCGACGCTACGCTCATATCAAATTTATTGAAAAAAAATGGCGAATAATTAAAATGAACTTTACGTAATTTAGTCAGATTTCTTTTGCTTAAGCAATATACTGCAAATCAAAGCCTAATTGGGAGGCGCTATGAAATCTCAAGGGGGGGAAGTTCCAGAAACTAGGCCAAGAATGGTGGTTTTCTAAGGTTAGCCTAGATGTGTCTCAAGGTCAAAAGTGTCGGGCACCCAGCGAGGATCGAACTCACTCCTCATAATTGATCTCGCAAGACAGGCTTGCTAAACATTATACCAAATCAAAAAAGAAAGAAAAAAAAAGAAAGATAAAATGAAAGAAAGATAGAATAAATAAATAAATATGTAACAGATGAAGCAAAGAGAAATGAAGAAGGAAAAAGACAAAATGAATCTTTGCGCTTAAGTGTATGTAACGAACCCAACTGGAATTGACTCTCCAATTAACAATTTCGATTATCCATTACTTCACAGTACAGTACGGATAGCGGCTCGGAATGAAGAATCGGAGATCCGAGTTCGAATTCCAGTCAAATCCATTACATTAACTTACGTGATAATACCCTTGGGAAAGGTATGAACTCTCTTCTTCTCTCCCCAGCTAGGGGTAAATAGCAGGACAGACAGGGTTCTATAGCCTTGGATGGCAACTTGTCTACCGCAGAAAGAAATAGCAATCGACTGCAGGAAAAAAAGAGTAATAGATAGCGGCTGGGATTGAGGGATCGGAGATCCGAGTTCGAATTCCAGTCGAATCCATTACTGCGGGAAAAAACTGCCTCGTCAGTCATGTATCGAAAGATACATGATCGCCTAAGCGCGTATCACGCATGGCACATAACTGACTGATACATTACACCACCCGCATATCCAAGCTTACAACACCAGGCGTTCCCAAGCGGTCATTCATTTAGGTACTGAGCAGGCTCAATGTTGCTTAACTTCGGTGATCTTACGAGACCCGGTGTTTGAACGTGATATGCCCGAAAGCCCGAAAGAAAGAAAAAATGCACCACCATTCGCATAAATGAAATGGAAAAATATGAATGAAGAAAGAACCTAATTTTTTTCAGTTACACAGTTTGTAGAGAAGTTGGTTATATTAATTTTGTGATGCCAACGTACACTCGTTGCCACTTTCGTAATGTTCATTGTAGTAGAGACTTTGTAATCGCAGTTACAACTATAGTAACGCCGTTGAACAATACTGGTATCAGACGCCTTCGAATAACACTAGAACTAATAGTACTTGCTCGATAATACGCACTCGAAAAGTAACCTCCGTATAGTGATCCGAATAGAGAAATAGTATAGGGAATAGAGTAGAAAATAGCGTTCCTTATAGTAATAGAGGATAAAGTAGAAACAGCTTCAGTGTTTCTTATTTTTGTGATGTCAACGAATACTCGTTGTAACTTTCGTAATGCTCGTTGTAGTAGAGAGACTTTGTAATCGCAGATACAACTATAGTAACGCCATTGACCAATACTAGTGTCAGACGCCTTCGAATAACACTAGCACTAATAGTACTTGCTCGATAATACTCGCTGGAATAGTAACCACGGAATAGTGACCGGTCTAGAGAAATAGTATAGGGCTGGTTGATTTTTTACTATTTTTAGGGAATAAATATTGTATTTCGCTATGTAAGTTGAGGATTGATACAATAAATGTTTTGTGATGTCAACGAACACTCGTTGCCACTTTTGTATTGTCAACGAATAGTCGTTGTCACTTTGGTAATGCTCGTTGTGGTAGAGACTTTGTAATTGCAGACACAACTATAGTAACGCCGTTGAACAATGCTGGTCTCAGACGCCTTCGAATAACACTCGTACTAATAGTACTTGCTCGATAACACTCGATCGAATAGTAATCCGTATAGTGATCCGAATAGAGAAATAGTATAGTGAATAGTGTAGAGAATACCTGTCCGTATATTAATAGAGGATAGAGTAGAAATGGTGATCCGTATAATAATAGAGGATAGACTAGAAATACCGATCGTTTAGACGTCACGCTACTTTCTACTGATGCGTTTCTCCTATGGTCACGTGGTCTACTTAATTCAATAATGGGATCGCCTGTGTTTGATAACTGGCGATCTATGTTCAAACTCAAGTGTCGGCAGCGACACTTTATTCCTATATAGCAATTAACATTCTTAGTTGGTTTATATTTTTTGGTGAAAGCCCACTGTTTTCAGAAATAATATTGCCATCCATTTTTGCTTTTCCGAAGAGCTCATACACTGTAGTATTTTTGTTTTGAGTCAGCAAGGTCTGATGGAATCGATGGCTACCTGCCTGTGGTTAAAGCGAGCGTTCAAGTTGGAGAACGCCGGCTGTCGAATGTAGTTTGGCTTTGTGAGGGATGGGCACCGCCAGGTTTACTTGCCGAAGACGCACTACGCATGAATGAATACCGGCTTTCGGCCCAGTTATGTGGATGGAGTTCGTAAGCTTTTAAGAGAAATGTTGTTGATGATGATGATGTTGCTGATGATGCTGATGCTATAGATGTGTTTTGTTGTTTTTTTACCTGGAGGAGAATATAAATTTCTTGCTGCCAATGACAGACATTCAATAGTATTGCACACCGGAAACAGGCTTTTAAAGTTAGATTAAAGGTCAATGCTTTTGAGCACCGCGTAAGGATCGAATCCTGTTTTTAGTACAAATTTACTAATCACTACTCCATGTCGACACCCTGTGCAACAAGCAAAATAACAAAATCCGTTTCGTTTGTAAATAACCTAATGAGTGAGAACACATCTTTGAATATCTATGCAGATGATACAACGGTATATGAGAGCACGTTCAAAATCTAAACGATCAGAGTCTGACAGCTGATCTATCGCCTGAACTAGCTCGAACAGCTTCTCGGTACAACTCTCTTTCAACTGTACATAAATAATCGGCCTAAGAGTATACACCGATCATTTGTGAATATTTCTCCTGATATTACAACGGTATATAAGTGGAGCTCCCAAAAATCTAGATGACCGGAGTGTGACAGCTGATCTCTACTCAGACCTAGCTCTAACAGTTCAATGAGAGAAAACTGACTGATTCCATTCAATACTTTCCAAGTCAAACTATAGACGTCCCATCATCACCAAGCAGACGCTAAATTTTCGTCTATCGCAATGTTCTCTCTCTTCTCTTGTTCATGTAACGGAATTCACCCATTTTTGGAGTTTCATGGGAATTTGGAATTCACAAGCGGTCCCCACCCGCATGTATAGCACATGAGATTTGATTATAGTGGTGAAGGTTTCGTGCAGGACCATCCACACTTTTTTGAAGGGCCGAATACAGAGACCTGGTGCCCAAACGACCTTCCGCATGTTTCCTTCTCCTAGACCAGTTGCCATCAAAGGCTATAGAACCCAATCTGTCCTGCTATTTACCCATAGCTAGGGGAAGAAGAAAAGGATTCATACCTTTCCAAGGGTATTAGCACGTAAGTGAATGTAATGGATTCGACTGGAATTCGAACTCGGCTCTCCGATTCCTCAATCCAAGCCGCTATGCATTACTCCACCATGCCTCTATAGCAATGAACGGGTGTTCTCTTAAAGAAGGGCCCTCGCCTTGAACGCCTATGAGGATTTAAGCTCAACCTACACCTCATATGTCGGGTGTAACAGCAAAATTCTCCAAATCGTGTTATTGCAAAATTGTCCAATTGTTAGATTAAACTTTAAACCGTTGTATCTTAGAAATGATTAAAGATATCTTCCTGGAATTCTCTGAGGCTTTTATAACACTGTTGGTCTTTAAGCAATGTGAATGTATAATTACTCTACAAGCTCAACAGAAAAATCGTGATGAAATTGATTAAAAACGAAAATGACATGTTCATCATTAATTAATCATAGCTAAGGATCGGAAGCTCATGAAGGATTCGAATAAAGTTTATATATATAGAAAAATTCGCTTGAGGATGAAATGGAACTAATGTCTTTAATTTAATCACAAAATTAAATTCGGGGCTTTTAGCTTCCATTTTTGAAACATGGTTAGAACTGTGTAGCGAAAAAAACCATATTTTAAATCAATTAATTTATAATATTAATGCTCTGTAAATTTACATTGAGCACTATTTTGTAAAAATAAAAATATCTATAAGAACACCGGATTATATATCTTGCTGTTCTTTCTTTATATATATATATATAGTATGCCAGGATCATTTTCCAAGTTATCTGAGATGATCTTCACCCTCTTTAACCTTCTAACTTTCTGTCCCGGAGTAAAAAATGGTGCCTTACGCGTTTCACGTACGATTTCATTTTCAAGTCTTTGTTCATTCCTCTTTGGACTGTCATAAGCGAAACTCCTCTCTCACGTGCTAAACGTCTCATGGATTGAGTTGGATTTTTTCTAATTGATCTCTTTAGATCTAAGTTGAAATGATGATCCCTCTTCCTGTTGTGACCGCCTGATCCAGTTTTCTTTGCTACTGTTCTCGTTTTTTAAACTTATTCACCGTTCTCTTGATGATCCTTGAATGGACTTTGAAGATGGAAGCCAGAGTATGAATGTTGGTAACATTACTCAAGGCTTGAATGATCATATTCCTCACACCATTGCTCAGTTGGGAAGACATAGTGGGGTTGACACAAAACGATTTTAAACTGTTCTTTTTCTAGGTGAATAACTCAAAGGTTTTTTTCAGTGATTCTTACGACAAATGGTGTTCAAGATGGCTAACATCTTATCAGAATAACCTGAAAAAAGAAACTTAATTAGTTTAGTGGTTATTTTGTTAAATATGAAATATTTTGTCGGTTGGACAATTATCCCAGTACAGCTACATGATTTGAACAATTTTGTTGTTACACACGGTATCTATAAAAGTGGATGGACATTGAAGTCAACAGCGATTGGAGCAGTCTGTTTTATGCTTGAACGCAATGTTCAGGCATTGTGTGTTGCGTATTAGCTCAGCTATTTATATATGCTTGCTAATGGTGCATCATGGGTAGCAAGTTCTATTGTATTATCGAAACGGTTATTGAGTCATCGGTAACGATTATGTTTCACTTATTAGATAAACAGAAATAATTTGCAGCTATTTTATAGTGTTAAAACTTTAATATATTCTCTTTCTAGCTGAATAACTCAAATGGTTTTTCACTGATTCTAACGACAAATGGTGTGAAGATGGCTAAACTTCTTATCAGAAGACCAGTAAAAAAGAAACTCAGTTTAGTGTTTTTTTTTTAGATGTTAAACATTTTGAGGGATGGACAATTATCCTCTGCTGTTACACGATTTGGACAATTTTGCTGTTATACAATTTGGACAATTTTGCTGTTACACGATTTAGACAATTTTGCTGTTACACAATTTGGACAATTTTGCCGTTGCATCCAGTATTCTATCCATCGATAAAGATGAATAGCGAATCTGATTGAAGAATCGAAGATCCGAGTTCGAATCCCAGACGTGTTTGTTACATTCACTTACGTGCAAATAACAATGGGAACGGTAGGAATCTATCTCTTTCACCTCATATCTATGGGTAAATAACAGGTCAGACTGGGTCCTATAGCCTTGCGTGGCAACCAGTCTAGGAGAAGGATACCTCTGAATTCAAAATCGCCAACTATGGGCAAATAGCAGAACAGACTGGGTCCTATGGCCTTGCGTGGCAACCAGTCTAGGAGAAGGATAACTCTGTATTTAAAATCGTCAACCATGAGCGACTAGCAGGACAGACTAGTCTCCTTAGCCTTGAGTGGCAACTAGTCTAGGAGGACGACAAATCTGAATTCAAAATTCGTATGTAGCAATAGCGAAGTACATACTATGCAGCTAATGAAAAAATCGTGGAGTTTACCATCACTCTATGATCCCTAGTACGATGTGTGTGTGTGTGTGTGTGTGTGTGTGTGTGACGGCAGTCGCCTGTTAGACCCAACTCTTCCTGCTATCCACTACCATTAAAAGAGCCAGATCGGGCCTAAAATAGAGTAC